CGTATATAGACATACGAAAATCCTCATGTCATGTACGGCCAATTACCCTAAAACATTCGTATAATGCAGGCCTAGGTCTTCTACAGTTAAAAACCAAAAATAATGTATCTGATATGGCATTTTGGCGATTACACTTGATTTTTGTAAAAAAAAAGAAGTCATGTATTTAGTTTTAAACTTGTAAAGTAGTTCCGGCGTTTAAGTGACACATGTAAAACATAATGCGCATGCTGGGCAGATAATCTTGAGGGTGATTTCAATATATATACATATATATATATATATATATATATATATATATTTGAAAATCTGTGCAAAACGACGAGAGAGCCTTAAAGACAAGCTGTGTAAGCGCTTTCCTCGGGAACGCGAGTTTGTTCGAGAAATTCTTCCATTGCTATAGGAAGGCGCGCGAAATGTTTAGCGAGTTCGTTAATTTTAAGCGATCTCTGTTAGAAGAGCTGGATATGAAACTCGTGTGTAGTGTGTTCCTAGGTAGCATTTGACGAGCGGTGGAATGAACACATCTCGCTTTCTCCCCGCGGCGAAGGCAACCTCCTATGCTGTCCTAGTCAACTTACTAGCCCAGTCACTACGAACGTTTTTAACGACGACGGTCTTGTGGTGTATCAACGCGGGTGTCAACATGCAGAAGGCGAGCAGCACCAATTGCTAGGTGTACTAACAGGGTAACAAACTGTTTAGGACGACAGGAGGCCCGGTTGTGTGGGCCTGTTGCCGCGAGCTCGTACGAGGCACCTCCGGCGACGTCGAAAGTAGTAGTAGTGCCACTCGTCAACTGGCGTTAACGACAACGGAAACCAACCATGCACAGAGCCGTAAAAATCACGACAAGATCTACACACCGTAGCGATAAGGTAGATGCAGTAGGCGCAAAAAAATGCCCACCGCGAAATGAGAACACCTCGCCGAATAAGTGTGGTCGAGCTTCAATATATCTAATATTACTATATTATAGTTAAAATATATTTATTCCTATCGATGATAAAGCTAAGCCAGTTCCTTCAATATATTGTAGAAGCACGATACATAATCTCCGACGGTGTATAGGTGGGTAAGCACTGTGGGACAGTGGCAAGCGTTTGTAGACCCATCAAAAAGTAAAGAGTACGTAAAGTTAAATACAAACTATTTAGATAAAACTGCGACTTTTGCTGTAGGCTTGAATTTTAATACAAATAGTCTAAATAAGCACCCAAAAGGTAATAAGGACGTTGCAAGCTATGCACGACAATGCTTACCTTGCTTGGTTATTATATCCTTGATAAAGTTTGCTTTTTGTTTGCTTAAGAAATTACTACAGGATTATTTAAGAATGTCCTACTTAAAGAGACTTAGCATTACGGGTAGATGGTATAATAATAAGAAATCAATAAAATATAAATTATAATAATTGGAATTTTTATGCTTATATGTTTAATAGTTGTTCTGGCCGTTCTGTTTCATTCGTATCGGACAAGGCAGAGCGCTACTGTGCAGAGGGCTGAATTTAAGTAAAAATTTGGAAAGGGAACCGTGATAAAATAACTCTTTTATAAGTTATAATAAAATACATATGCACGCTGGCGAAAAACTTTTGCCATTTCCCACCACTATGCTTCTCGCTATATACCCGCGTTCTATAATAATGATAAAAATCAGTTTAAATATAAATATAAAGGCTTTTGAGTGCAGCATATACAGTATGGCCAGGTTATTTTTTATAGTACTCATAGTTCTGTAACATAACGATGGTTAAGATGCAACATGAAATTGTTCCATATATTGCCGAAGACCTATTTAGACCTGACGATTATACCAGTTCTTTCATCCACTTCGAAGGTTGATCAATTCACTTATGTCGTAAACAATCGTATTTCTCTGGTAGCATTCACAATACAGCGGCCTGCTACAATTCTTTTTTGCTTACAATTGCAAGTAGGGCAGGTTTCACCATAGCATCAACCTCACAACTTCTACTTTAACACCTCTAATATCAACATGAACAAGTTATTGCATGTAGTTTTTCACGGAACGCCAACAGAAAGGGCGAGCAGAAGAACCTATATTAACCTATTGAAATCTGCAACAAGGCCGATATCGTGTTCCATTTCCACCCACATTAGGCTCGAACATAAACTAGAAGGTCACTAGACGTGGTCCTGTGACAAATTAGCGAATAATCAGAAACTGGTGACAATTAGCAAGATTACAGAGCGAAACCTCAAACCAGAACAACGCCTGCTTGCCCGCGAAACTTTACCGTAAACGGCCTTCTCTTTGGGCTGCCAACGCTGACACCTCATGTCAGTTTAGATACAACTCGACCTGAAAAATCTGTTTACTATATCTTTCATACACCTAATTAAGATACATGAAGTCTATGGTATCGAGTACGAACTTATTCCATAGAGTTACTAGTATATTTCAATTTAAGAAAACAATTATGGCAAATCGAGGAATAACGTTATTTTAATTGAGGGGGAACTGTCTCTAATTCTCCTCGAGCATCTAGTCGTACCATAGCTGGACAAAATGTTGCCTAATGTTAAACATTAACAAAAGATTTGGTCATGTGGAGAACAACCTTTAACAGATACAGTTCTGCATGAGATGCGGGTCCTTTTTAAGCGGTGTTAACCTAAAGTTATTTTTCCCTGTGTCTAACGTCATTAGATAGCGACAAACTGACGATTTATCCCAGTAGGATCTGGTCCCACAGCGCAGTTGACGCGCAGACTGACATGGGACTTTTTATTACCAGTGACTGAAAATGAACTATCCACACAAATAAAGCTATTATATCCAATTTATCATTATCGGAAGTTTAGTTTTTCTTTATGATATCAATCGTTCGTTGTAAAATGTATTGATAGATTGCCAAGAGCAAAATCGCACGACTTGCTTAACTTTATGAGTTCTTGGTTTTGCTTGATCTTAATCTGAAGTCTGTAAAAACATAGAGCCGAATGTAAATATACCAGATATGTACATATGCAATCCGACATGAGCAGCTGGGTGGAATATCTAATTGTCTCATGAACATTATGTGCGTCGAATACGGATAACAAGTTCATTAGTAAACTTTTGTCAAGAGCAGCAGCTCTACTTACCCTTTTGAGCTTAGTGTCGTTGATACTCAAGTACCGTCAAGAGCTATGGCTCTTTACAAAGAATCCAGTAAGCTCGAACCCTGGTTTTCCTTCTTCTTTTGAACAAGCGTTTTTTTTTTCAGTTTGCCTCACTCTCAATACGAAAAAAAAACCTTATATTATAGTTATAATCTTAATATTTAATAGAACTTTATTTAATATAACTTTATTTAATAGAACTTACATATATGAATAGTAAGATGCTAAGAGAGGCTGACAAAATAAGATTCTTCTAATAAGAAAAATTGGCATGCTTATTATGATTATTTTCGAATTGGTATCCGGGCATTCGAATGCGCCATCAAAATTCGAACTCTTTATAGCGATAAAGAAGGGTCTCACTGATAAAAAAATAGCCTACGCATAAAAACACTTTGAGAAAATATTTTATTGTTTAACATTATAAGCACTTTCTATTGTGTTCATTGTTGTCGCTCAGAAAAATGGTCGGGCACAGTTTCGATGCCAAGGAGCTAATACTTGTTGCAGAAACAAGGTGAGTCCCGTGTACCTAGGTGACCTTGTGCCTCTTTAGCATGCATTTCTATATATATATATATATATATATATATAAGGAACTATGATCCAGTCACGTGGAGAAATGCAGCTGCCCAACCAAATCCGGTGGCAGTTTTGCCAGGTTAACACTTGTTGTATATGATGTTTCAATATCTGAAATCTACATATTAATCTCACATGTGATAAGTTGCCATGAGGACGCCAGACCAATAAACGCGTTACTCCAATCAAAGCGACATATCAGAACCGTTACCGTCGAAGTGGGTAAGGGCGCTTTGCTGGCGGCAAGGTGATAATTGACGCTTTTGGACTGCCTATATGAACCGGTGCTTGACGCAGCACGATGAGTAGATTCTCCGCTCAATCGCTCTGCACAGATCATCGCAAAGTGTCATGGTTTGCCCTTTGAGTGTCAATACCTTACCAGTCGTGATGGCGTTCCTAGCCGTGTGGTGCTCGGGTAAGGCTGCTCGCCCGAAAACCGACATGGCAGGTTTCAGTGAGTAACAAAAGCAAAAAAGATTCAAATGATCAAATAAGGATTTGTGTCTGTACTATTGAACTTTGCACAGTCGTTTCTAAGCATCCCGTTTACACAGGACCTATTAAAAATAAAATCGACTTAGCTAAGATCGCACTGCTTTGCTACTGTTTCAGCTAGCAAAGCACGCCCTAGAGATTTAATTAGATACAATAAATCTCACAGACTTGCAAGGCTTCCCAAGGTCCTAAGTTCGTTTACGTTACATTTAGATAGTTGTCGATTCGGCGAGTTAGTTAAAATAGTCATACACCTAATTATTCATCTAACAAAATCCATAATTGTTCTCGAAACTAGTATTTATAATTCTGCCATAGGGCGCGGGATTCGCTCACTAATCTTAAATGTATTTGCTGTTAATTTCTTAAAAAATTAGCCCCTGACAACATGAACTTCGAATGCGGCATGCAACCGATACCCGTTGAGAGGATTGTTGGTGGAACACCAGTTCAACCGGGAACGTTTCCTTGGCAGGTTAGCTGGCTTTATACTCGTAAATATACGCGTGTACCTCTCTCTCTCTCTCTCTCTCTCTCTCTCTCTCTCCCTCTCTCTCTGTGTTTGTCTGCGTGAGGGCGTGTGATACACGTAACTCACAACAGCTTTCATTGCATTGTTGTCACTTGGAGAAATTAGCTAATCAACTGGATCTAGCAAATTCAATTGATAGATAAGACGGTATAGTTGTAACGTTTGGCTTAGCCAGTATACTAACGATTATCTGAATCGGATTAAATTGCGAAAGTAATGATTACGTGCTGCATAACAGCAAGTTTTATCTAGGTAAGGCTGAGCCTCAAGGCCACCGTTTGGTACATGTCGACAGTTTTTGCGAGGGTTAATTGAGGAATTAGCTGTTGAAACTTTTCGAGACGACTCGCCCTATTCATTATTCCACCGAGATGGCATACAGTCTTGCATGCGTTTTACTGACTCATAAAAATGAAGAGGAGTACAGCAAACGACCATTAACCCTGACCTTGTCCTCTTGGCCCTTACGATGGAGCTTCTATCTTCACCCACGACCTCACAAAGCGTATGCTTAGATTCAATAGAGCGCATCTATGATCAATGAATTCGACACTAACTTCAATTCCGTATTCGCATCATTGCGAAATGCAACCTTTTTTGAGAATTAAGCCAAAACTGCCCAGTTTTTTCGATCATTTTTTGACTAATGTAGGTGTCGGTACGTCGTAACGGCTACGGAATCTGCGGCGGAGCAATTATATCCCCGACCGAGATCATCACTGCGGCGCATTGTGTCTCCTCGTAAGTCCAAATGTGTAATAGTTTTTTTTAACTTGAAACTTCGCCTATTTGAAAGAGGAACATTTTCATCTATTTTCAGTTAGGCAGGTAGATGGATAAACCCTACAACTGTAGCCTAGTCTAATAGATGAACTTAGGCCTGATTTGATGATCAATATTCAGTTGATACCGCATATTGTATGAGTCTGGGTCTGTCAGTTGACATCACTTCATTTCGATGCAGGGTATCGGCAGAACGTTACCAGATTCTTGCGGGTGCCACCGACTTCCGCAATTTGAAGAACTCAACTCAAGTTCGAAGGGTACGGATACAGTTTTTCTCTCGGATGAAAACCTCATCCAGACTTGATAGAAAATGAGAGCTATTTTTAGCGAACGACATGCTCTGAAACATGTATTTACAATACGGTATTGGCACAGATTGGACACGTATTACTTCCAAATTTGGGCAAATGGGAAAAGCTGAGTGATTTATTTGTCTTAGAGTTCGCTGCATAAAATAGGATGGGCTTAATTGATTTCCTAGGTTTATTTCGTAAAAATAATTTTTCTAGAATTAGTAAATCGAAACAAAATTACCCATTCTATTGATGCGATTATGGCGGAGACATCTAGCTACGTTATGCTTAGTTTACTGGGAGTGCGAGAGAATACCGAATAACAATTTAAGTTGAATGTAACTATAAGAAAAGAGACAGACGTTTTTTTTAGCGCGTTGTATGATGATGTGGGCCGATTCGGTGATTTAAAATTCCCACATAATAAACGGTGCCTTTCATGAAAAAGGAGAGTGAACGAAAGGTGGCTTTCTTCCAGGATATGACTATTGCAATGCAACAGTGATTCAAAGACATGTTTCTGCCGCCGATGCCTCGATACGCCTGAATATTACAGGTGTCAGAAATCCTCATTCATCCGAAATACGCTGGTCTTATTGCTGTTCGCTATGATGTAGCTTTGCTGCGACTCGATGGAGCGCTCGATTTCGTCGGCTCCAAGGGACTTGTGGCACCGATTTGTTTGCCCAGAAGATCATATCAGGTCAAAGGGGACGTAATCATTACAGGCTGGGGCCGAACCAAGGAAGGTGAGCAGATTCACTCCCACAGGTGCAATATATCTGCAGTTACATTGCTTCTATTTGAAAAAAAAGGTGTCACCTCACGTGGTTCCCTGAAAGCGTACTTAGTCTGTATATTGCAAGTCCCCGACACGTATCCTGCATATAAGCCTTTACAAGTTCAAAAGAATATGAACGTTAATTCATTATTTATGACGAAACCTATCCACTAGATCCCTCCAGATATAGAGCAGAGAAGCATTCCGACGAAGGCCACGAACTATAGGCATAATACACACCTCTCACCGTAAATAGTTTTCCCGAGAGTACCGAAATAGAGCAGGTATATGAGTACGCGTAAAATACGACTAAACTCTAATGTCTTTCCTCCAGGTGGTAACACGTCTAAGGTTCTAAACGCTGTTACCGTTCCGGTAATGTCGGACACCATGTGTCGACTCTACCTTTCGCGGTAAGCCCAAAATAGTGATGCGCATAAAAACTCGGCAGAATATATGGATTGCCTATGATAAACAGGACCTACAGCCTTCTAACGTGACAGATAAGGACTGTCGCCGTAACAAAACATATTTATTCATAAATACATAACTAATCATTTTAAATATACGGATTGTAGCTTGTCAAAGCAGAATTGAACGTTGTTAAAGTAGCTGTTCATCGTTCTTGGGTTTTCACAGACGGCTGGTAACAATCCTGTTTGCGCCGTACGACGGCAGCAGTATGTTCTGTGCTGGACGATTTCAAGGGGGCGTCGACTCGTGTCAAGGTGATTCCGGTGGACCAGCTGTTCAGACCGTCGATGGTAAGCCTCAGCCTTTACACGAGCGGCTAATTAGTTATGCGAACGTTCCGTGGTCGCATACCGCACTTTAGCGCGTGCAATTGTATGAGACCATGGTTTGTAGACGCATGTGAGCGACTAGCGTGTTGAAGTGATACCTAACAGTGAAACGAGATAAAGTATTGGCCATCTGATTCAACGTACCCATCCATGGAGTCAAAATAATTCGAATATATGAGTTCTAGGTTAGTCGAAGTCATTCCGTATCTAAAAACTCCACGTGACAGATTAACTCGAAGTAAGCTTTATCATGGAGATAGAATACGGTATAAGCTAGTCCCATGAACTCGAACGTCGAAAGAGAACTGTGAATTTTTTATAATTGCATAGTCCAGTTTTATCTACCTATTTTTCATGGCAATTGTTTACGTAATCGCTTCAGGACGAGCAACACTTGTGGGTATCGTTTCTTGGGGTTTCGGTTGTGCGCGTATGATGTCACCGGGAGTATACGCCGAGGTTGCTAAGTTCATGGATTTTATCGATGATCACTCTGTTCTCAAAGGAAGCGTTGAAGCTCGAAGGTAAGTTAGCTTTTTTTTTCTACCCAGTTGTAAACACTTAATTTAAGGTGCTAATTTAGGCAGAAAAAGGCCTTACTTGCTTTACGTTTGTCAAAACAGCATCGATGGTAAAAGTGGCAGGGGAGGATGCTTTTATTGATACCACATTCTACCAAAGAGCATCTGTAAGCAAAAATGTTCTGTTTTGCTTTGTCAGAAAAACTAAGTTCCCCAAAAACTGAGTGAACCCGTTATATCTTGTTTCGAAGAATTTTTATGATCACTGATCTTTTCTTGTTTTTACTACTACTAATTATTGGCATTGATTCATGCATTTTTTAACCCGGGTTAGGAGTACGACCGTGCGACCTACTATCATACCAGAAGGTCTGCAAATACACCTGCCGGCAAACCTAACACTTCTCAAGCCATTGCTAGAAAACGATGAAGCCGATTATATCAGTCCGGATCAACTGCCCAACAATCGTTTGTAGTAATATATTCCACAGATTAAAAACAGGTCGACAATACAGACAACAGCATATATCTTCATGAATGCTGAGAGTCTATCATTCCATAGTACTATTTTTGATAAAATAGAAAAATACGAAATGCGCGTAGGGCCAATTTGAAGGTCTTAATAAAACCTTAATGCAAACTGACAAAACGTCTAATGTTTGAACGGTATAAGGTGAAAATTATCGCAGAACAAGGTGTTTTTTCGATAGTAAAACCAGAATATATTTCTTGAATCATATGTCATATATGTTAAACAACAATAAAAGCTTTGTAAACAATGATAAAATGTGCCTTTTTGTCTAAATATATGTATGTAGTCTTCTACTGATTGCCTGGTAGTTTGGATGTATTTTCAGTATTGTACGTTGGCTTGTCGTACGAGCAACGGTGTTATGAGTACTCGCTGAGAATTACTATGCACTTATGCAGTGTTATTATTCCAATCCGCACGGCTAAAAACTATAATTTGCCCATCTTAAATATGGTTTATGATTTGTAAGTTAAAAGCCGTTTCCGCACACAATCGCAGTTACGTAAATGAAAATACGTGTCCTTCCGTGAGCTTTAAAAATGAATCCGATAAGCACAATGAGGTTTCTATATTCATAGCCGGTCTTGGAGGATTTGGTCTCTTAGCGATAGACTAGTTATTTTCATCAGCTTTATGACATGAGCAATTGGTATTTAGCCCACATGTCGTCGAATCTTTTGGATTATAAACGAGACGTTAACAAGTTAATTTGAATGCACTGAAGGATGCTAAATACTACGTAACTGCGAAACGTCTACTGCGATGATTTGAACCTCAACTAACTTATCAATCTGTTTAGATGTTTAGTGGAATAACAGTGAACGTCTAAGTTAAAATGTCCATGGTACGCGCCTTTTCAACGCGTTCTTGGAACTTCTAGGTTGTCTAATCGTTTGTACGTTGCCTGGCTAACGGACAAACTTTCGGGTAACTTACAACCGCCCTTAGTGTATGTAGAGACCTTCTAGATGCATAGATTTGCCAACGAAAAATCTTTAGCTAGCTGGTTTTTATAAATCAACTAGGATCGGTCTACCGAGAGGATCACTTTCGGCGTATACTTTGATTTTTCGTTTGCTGATCGGCTTAATTCTCATTATTTCGTTTCAAACGACCCTTTGCACTGAGCCTCAAGCCTAAATTGTATCGCATATTTCTGATATATCATTCCTTGCGTTGATTCTTGTAAATCCCTTTTGTAGTTCTAGGAGTTCACATCTACATTTTTTTAATCGCACAGAATAAATAATTTCCAAATTGTTACCCAAATGTTACCGTTACGACGGGCTTGAAACCCAGTTTTTGTTGACGTAAGTTGATTCTAGAATAAAATATAAAGCTAACGACGGACTATTTTCGGTATACGACTGAGACTTTCAACGCAGTAAATTCAAAACCTTTCTAAGGGGTCGAACTTTTCCAGTAAGGAGTCCCAAACTAAATATTTCGAGTTTTATGTCCAATACCATTCTACTAGACGGCTGGTTCCGAGCACGAAACGAGTGTCTAGACCCAGATACTAACCCAGATTATGACGCGTTTCTCCAGGAATCCCGGACAGGACAAATTAATTACACGAATTACTCCAAATTTCTGTAATGCAATTAACAAATAAAAAAATAGACTTTACTATCTTTTGTATACCCAACAGAAACAGTGCTTTTGAAAGCTGAGCTTTAGCCCCACCTCGTCGAGCAGCATTCGCTTGGCTTGGACGTACTTTACGAATGTGTCTCTCTCATACTCTTAAAAACGTTGAGCTTTTTAGTAAACTTGAGCCCCCTTTTTCGGAAGGCGCTCCGCGTACTTATCGTGCAGGTATGGTACGATAGCAAGGCACCTTGCTTCGTGACTTTTCACGTTATTTGGTCGTCTTGTTTGTTTCGAATTGGGTCGAATTGTTTGACGCGATATCTTTTTGATCTCCCGCTTCGGTTTGATGCTATTAAATACGACACGTCCTGCTGTGTTGTACCGCTTCTGTGAAGCCTCCTACGATTTTGTTTATCCTGCAATACTGTCTCTGAGTTGCAAATCGGAGGATGTGGTCAGGCAATATTGGCCCTGTCAATCTCTGTGCTGTTCTCAGAAGCTATTTATTATAATATCAAGTATTCACATTAGTTTGCCTTAGTATATGCAGGCCTTATAATATAAGACAAGATTGGTAATATGTAGAGCTCATACTATTCTAACAACATGGCGAAATGTATCCAGTTGTCCTATATACGTAACATCAGCGCACAGCTTTCAAAGGTACCTTTCCCGTTGTTCTACCTATTTAATCTCCGTAGTTATTGCACGCAACCAAATGACTGAATGATAATAACATATTATTAACTAGTATATAAATGATGGGGAGCGTTCAATATCGTTCAGCTTAGCATATGTATGTCATCGACAAAACAGGTTGGCAGCTAAACTGAGGATCGTCCTCTGGGCGTTGATTTTTTCCACTTCTTCAAAGCCATCATTGCTGGAGATTGTCTGCATCAAAATAACAGCAGAAATAAACATCTAAAAGATAATTGCAGTGTTCATTGAGTTCTATCGGTTAGAAGTTGTTTCTGTTCCTATTTCGTTGTCACTGCGACCAATAACATACGAAGCATGTATAGCATAAACACAATTTAGAGAATAGCTCAAGCCTCAAAGAAACTACTTTAAAGATGATACGTTGAGGAAAAACAATTGATTTTTCTATGCAAAGTGTGTGATAATGTTTTAATAAATAGATTATTTTCCAAGAGTTGGATAAACCAGAGCTATAGTACCGTAGAAGATAATATTGTTAGAATACTCTGCATCGGCGTTAGCAAATGGTTTTCTCATATAAAATGACATTGGCTATCCTTTTGCCTATATAGACGGCAACCGCAACGCATACCGTAACGATAATGAAACAAAGAAGGAATTTCATCGTTTTCTGGATTTTTTCATTTAATCTATTTTATTTAACAATATCGAGTCGATAACCTTGAAGTTGGCCGTATTTTACGCGGTTATGGTTGGGGTTTAGACAGATTGCGCCGGCGGTAACAGAAAACATATATACATTCGTATATATATATATATATACACACCTTTTTCCCCGTGGGCTACGTAAAGTGAGAACTTTCCATGTATTTTGATTATGTAATGGTTGTACGTGGCATGAAACCGCACATCCGCTTCCGATCTTCCTTTAAACAAAGCACGTCAATCTTCACCGGATAATCTGGGCGTACAATTTTCAGGAGAATAACCACAGTAACACCTGCTAGAGGCTTGCGCGGTAGGTTTCCTAGGCACAGTCTTCTAAATATCCGCAGATAACAGTAACGCATTTTAACCAGGCTATTAAATGAACCAAGTAATAAATAGTAAATGGACATTAATATTTTTTGTTGGTTGATATGATTTCTTCATGAATTTCATTATAGCAGAAAATATTTCGACTAGTCTTTGTATCGTTACTTGAATGCCGCTTTAAGACTGAGCTCACTAACTACTAGCGACAGTACCGGAAGTAAAACCCAAAATATCTATCTAGCCCACGTTTCATTAATAATTTTGCCTGATGATGTGCACGATATTAAGTTAGTTTGTTAGTTAGTTAGTATTGCTATGTAGAAAGCTTTCGAGTCTCAGCGAGATAAATTAGAATAATACATGAAATCGTTTAAGCCATGATTTTTTCCTATACCTAGTGTAGATAGGATCAGCGTTGCAGTAACTTTCAGCAACTTTTATCCAGCGGCTCTCTGTTCCTGAGAAATGCTGCGTTGTGTTCGAGCAAAACACCAGTATTGACGTGTGCCACGCTTCTGCGAAATAGAGCCGATAATTCGTGTTTGCCCCTAACAAAAAAAAGCCCTTGCAGTCGTCCCATTATTTTCATCGGTTGTACTTTTCACGTCTATTTTTTCTGACCGCAGACCCATCTATTAGCCAAAAACACACACAGAGTCATACTAAAGTACATGGCTGACTAGCTACACACATGTGCACGATGCGGTACTTCAAAACGCCTGCAATTTAATAAATGTCGCCCGGATCAGCAGATGTTCATGCTACGACTGTGCATTATGTTGTGTCGGAGTGTCAGGCCACGGTACTCAGAGCAAGCTATCTTGTCTAGTCCTATCTAATTTGATGTAGCATCACTTGACGAATTGATCTAGTACTGCGCGCCATCTACACATTTGTGAATCGTTGGTTTAGCCCTGTGGGTTTGCCCGGACGGGCGCCATAGGTCCTTCTTTCAGATTACCGCATAAAGTTAGTCTGTCTAGGTATGTATTTACTGCACGCCTCCAGATGTCGCCATCGGCACGTTGCTATAAGCGTACATAGTACTGGATCGCGCTGTGGCTCCATCTGGCGTCGGCTGCAGCTCTCGTAAGGTAATTCCTATTATTGATTTGAATCATTTATATAGGCAGTTCTCCGTCTAGTTTATCGGCTGGACTGGATATCCATCTCTCCCTTGTGATCTCTCGTACCTGAACATTTTAGACAGACTGCACTATTAGACCATGGATCCTGTGGACAGTGTTGGTGGACGCAGCTATTTTGGCATTTAGCTACCCACAGTGCTGCCAGCGTCGCCGTTGCTCCCACCATGATTGCCTGTGGTTCCTGCTCCTACAGCCTTTAGCAGTGACGCCGACTGCATGTAGGTCCGGCGCGAACATGTTATTATTGCTGTAGATCCTCAATAGGTGAGGAGCAGCGACGTGAACGCAGGTATCGGACGGGCGTTCGGTCAGGCAGGGTAACGAGCGCCTCGTTTCTCTTCGACCAATATATGCACAAGTATTATGGCTGTTATTGCTGGTCGCGATGCTGCTGCCACAGACTGCAGTTACTGCTAATTCTTGTGGCGGCGCTCTTCAATTCTTAGCGTCGTTCACTGCCACCAGATCAACTCGCTCTGCGCGAATAAGTATTCCGTTGCTGATGCCACAACCTCGCCTGTGCTCCATTCTGACCCTGGCATCTTCCTGCCCTATACGAATACCGGCATTGATACTGGTACATTAATACACTGACAGTGTGCGTACGTGATCTTTTCCGGCAGCGGATGACAATCGCCCGGCTCGCTAATAGCAGTTACGGGCGGCTGTAGAACAATTTCACTGAACTGGGTTAGATTGTCGTCATTCGGAATGCTGTAGTATTATGAGTGACAGTCGCATTCTAGTCATCTCTGATCAAAAAAAAAAGGTGGGTCTAGGCATACATTCAGACAGATTGTTTTTCCCAGAACATGCCATTACTGTTACTTTACCTGCTGCAGATGATATTGTTAGATTGCTGAGATGATGTTACAACGAATCCGGGGCTGCCATGTTAGCTATACGGTAGCTCCAGTCAATTGCTGAAGTTCTGGATGATCAAATCCATCGATTCTATATAAAAGAAAAAAAAGCCTGAGGAGAGAAAGAAAAGAAAGTTCACCTTTTTTTCGTCGCTTTTTCTATATACTAAATTGCCGAGCTTGTTGCACTTGGAAGTCTTAGATATACGGAACAATGTACATTGTCGGAGTGTATGCCAGATCAGCAAAATCAAGTTAGAAATCTAACAGATGACGAGTGGTCACAAGATCAGCACTACATCGCGAACACATTAAGGCTTATGTACACAGAAACGACGAGCACGATTAGCTGTGATTGTGATTGATTTAAGGGGGTTCACTTCAATAAGGAATGAAGAATTACACTTAAGGAAGATCAGTTGGATCTTTTACGAAACCAGCCATCAGGAGAACAGCTTCGTCCATTGAGGATTTCAGTGAAATCTATAGCGGAAAATCGTGCTTCGATTTTAGCATCAGCAACCTACGACGATTTAGGCTGTTACGGCTGCCCTGAAAGAGCGGTGTAGATCTGGCCTTGTGCCTTGAGCCTTTGTGTTGTTCAAGTAATGGCGTAACCATGTGCTGTACGCTCTGTGTTATCAATTGTCTTTTTGTGAAATGATCCCAATCCAACAATGGATTAATGATTTTGTAAACACCTTGTTTAGCGAAAAGAGCCATGAATGATTCGTGCCTATTAAGAAGATTATCTGCAAGATCCGGTAGATTCATGCCAGTGACGTACCTTGTCGGGTAAGCCTTTTTTAGAGCTTAAAATCAGCGCGTAAATGTCGAGGGAATAAGCTCCATAACAGATAGTTAGATAATAAGTAACTGATTATGATGCCACTGACTCGTAAAGTAAACAATTGCAGTGATTTCAGAGTTATATATATA